GTGCCGTTCGCTCGCTCAATTCACAGTCGCGGGGTCCTGCTGGACAAGGCCGCCGTGCTTCACTATGTTCGCATCCAGGCCCGAAATGGCCAGTGGGTGAGTTGCGAGTGTTGCTTCACAGTCGTTCACGATGTCCTGGTCGCCTGCACCAGTATCTACCAACGAGGTGAAAGGAGTGAAAGTGGGTTATGCCTCCGTCTCCCATGTCTCCCGTCATTGCTAACCACCAGACTAGGGCGAGCCATCGAGGCACCCCAGATCCGTCGAATTTTCTCGTCCTCTCCTCGGGACCCTCGCTACCACATGCTCGAGCACTTGTCACCCAAGTTCAGGATGCCCCCGGTGGAGCGCGAGCCGCGCGCCGCTCTCATTCTCAACAGGTTTACTCGGACCCTGACTGTCATGTTCGCTACGAACGCCGTAGCCTCCATCCTTGGTGTCCGGCCGGACCAGATCAAAGACAAAAGCTTCTATGAATGCATTCAGGAGAACTGCCTTCCCGATGCCATCCGTTGCCTGGAAAGTGCCAAGGCCAACGACTCCATTGCCTACCTTCGATTTTGGTACAGAGACCCGCGTCGACCGGAGGATTTTGAGGATGAAGATGACGACGAGGAGCATAACAGTGGGAACTCCAGCGATTCTGAGGGCGGAGGCGTGCAGCTTGATGGCCGCATGGACGTTGACGACGAACCTGCCATCAAGCAAGAAGATACTGGTCGGCCCGACTTGTCAACTCACAGCTCTGCACAGACGGCCACCACGACGGCTTCCGGTTCGAGCAGCCGGACACAGCAGACCTCTGCAACGACTGCCCCGCCACTCGACGGGCCGGCACCTCGGAGGTCACCGCCTGCCGAGCCTCTGAGAAACCGGCGCCGTGAACCAATCCCAACATTCGAGCTCGAGGCCGTCGTGTCCTGCACGTCTGACGGGCTGGTTGTCGTGCTACGGAAAGCCCGCCCACCTATTCCGGCACCTCACCCACCCCTGGTCACGCCTACATACACCAACGGTCTTTTCGCCGCGCCATGGGGACATCATCCGATTCGGCCCCAAGGTCCCCAAGATATGCTCTACGCATTCAGGCCTCCTCTCATGCCACAGTACATGCCTCTGCGCGACAACGTCATGGCCATCGGTGGTCCTCCGGTGGATCATCTCATGAGCTCCATTCGTGACGTTGCCGTTTTCGCCTGGGCTCTCGTTGGTATCAACGGCAATCTTGCGACTTACACCCGTGGTTTACCCCGTGGCGAGGCACAGCCTGACGGGCTTCCGGTGTGGGATCCGAGTGCTGGCAGTACGTCCTACCTTGGACCGGAAAACCAGGCGGTTCATCGCTGGGCACAGTACGACGAGAAACACAAAAGTGGTTTCGGATCATCGTCCTCCGGATACCAACAGCCACAGGCGCAAGAAACGTCGTCGAGTTATACTCATGCTCCCCAAATTGGCAGGAGCAACTACACATACTCCCAGCCTCCCCCGACATGGCCTGGGCTCCAGCCTGCGTACACATCTGCGTATGATCAGTATGGCAGACCTAATCGCAACCACCCCCCACATCATCCACAGCAACATAGTGAGCACCAGCATTACCAACAGCAAGGCCAACACCAACAGGCCCCGGGCTCTCGAGCTGCATTGCAAGACCAGTCCTGGGGTGAGACCCCACCACCATACAATGGTGGCGGACATTCGAATGGAGAATCAAATGGGCACTCCAACAATGTTCCCACCACATCGGCCGGTCGGAACGATTCATCCCATGGCTATCGCTACCCCTGGCAGTAGACGGGTTACTTGATGGCACATCGGCGTTGGGTTATGTGATTTGAGATTGTGACTTGCGATCAGTCACAATCATTAACGACTTAAATCGGTTTATAAAATTTATCGAAGATTGTAGCAGCAAAGGTTCAGGGCGGATTGTTTGCAGTTTGCAATTTGACAGCACATGTGGCGAGGATGGATTATGGCACCCCCGCATTTTACTAGAAATGACGGCAGAGTGATAGATAGATACCCACGAGATGAAGAAGCGGAGTCGTTATTCAAATAATTGAGATACTCGCACGACATTAGCGAACACCCGTCAGCCTGGAAAGCTGTGTGTACATACAAGATACGCGATAGCTTGGAGCCGAGTAGCATGGCTACCAATCGCGGGCACCGAAAAGGGGAGGTCCTGTGTGTAAATGGCACCCATTCACTAAATTATCATCTCCAGTGTGACAATTTAGTAGTCTCTGGTACGCCGGTGCTGTTCGGCGTTTCCGGGCGGAGACCCACAGTGAAAGTCGGAATATCGGCGGCGGCTGGAACGGGGAAGTGGGTCGACCAAAGGCACAGCTATGTGCCTGTGATTGGTGAAGGTAGATGGTCGGGGAGCGGGTCTGTATATTCCGACGCAAGGGACGGGGTCCGGGGAGCTTGGACCACTCGCTGGGCCTTTGAGGAAACCGTGGAGTCTTTTGAGAGTCGCAAGCTGCTACGTCAGCTGGCCGACTTTCCTGTCCCGTCCCATCTCTACTGCACGAAGCTGCAATTGACTCTTTCTCCGCCGAGGCCGACGCTCGAAGAAACTAATTGCAGCGTTTGACATAACGCGCATTCCTATCCACGCGAAATACCGCTACCTCGCTCCTTGAGTCACTGCAGCCCACAATGGCATCCGCAGCCAGGCGAGACGACTATGCCAATCCTCCCTTGGCCGACGACGACCTGATCGATCCAGATGATGGTAAGCATTCATACCGCTTCTGATGCTGTGTTTTAGCTCAGGCTGACCGTTGTTTTGGTCAGCCGATCTTGATGACTTTGACGATCCCCTCGGCCACACGTCCTCCCGTCAGCCACTCACAGGCAACATCGGTTCCAGCTCTTCGTCGTCGCGACCTCTAAACGAAAATGCCTGGACCTCGCGGATACCGGGCGAAGACCGCGCCGCACCTCAAAACACAATCGATGAGTCGGTGTGGGACACCCTTCGTCGAGATCTCCTAGCCGTGTGGGCGAAAATGAGGGAGGTCCTCTACCCCAAGTATCTCCTTGGGGGTACCATGTTCGATGCCGATGGCCTCCGCGGCGCGTACGCGAACATTCGCGGGGCTGGCTTCGCTGGTGCTCGTGAAGAGATTACCGGGCTGGCAAATCGATTCATGGATTCGGAAGCTCTTCTGTCAGGCAACAATATGACGCCTGGTCTGCGTGACTGGGATCTCTGGGGACCCCTCATATTTTGCCTGTTGCTGAGTCTTCTCCTGAGCTTCAATGCGCGAGCAGATCAGAAGGACGTTGTCTTCAGCGGCGTGTTTGCCATGATTTGGATCGGAGAGGCCGTGGTCACGTTGCAGATCAAGCTTCTGGGAGGAAGCATGTGAGTCGTCCCCTGGTAGCATCCGGCAACCAGAGAATCCGTCTCCCGGCTGCGCTAACATGCAACTGCAGTTCATTCGCGCAGAGCGTCTGCATTATAGGATACACGCTGTTTCCTCTGGTCATCGCGGCGTTGCTCTCGGCGTTCGGTATTCCGACAGTCGCTCGTGTTCCCGTCTATCTCTTCTTGGTGGCGTGGTCGTTGGCTGCAGGAGTGAGCATCCTAGGTGGCAGCGGCGTCGTCAAGAACCGCGTCGGTATCGCGGTGTACCCGCTCTTTGTCTTCTATCTCGGCTTAGGCTGCCTTTGCTTCATCAGTTAAAGTGCAGGAGCCTCAGCAAACCACGGTCATCGCTCAGGAGGCCTCTCGCATCGATGACGAGAATGACCGGGGCGTAGGTTGTATCTTAGATAACCACGGTGTTGTATGAGTTAGCTTCGAGTTATGGCTGTAGGCCAATGGGTGAGATTTCAGCAAGTGTCCTCGTTGTTATTCGCAAACTTAAGCCTGTCTTGTGGACAAATTATGAGAGAGAATTTCCCTTTGAGTGTGAAACATCGATTCAGGTTGTCTATGGCGCCATGTCGCCGTTTTGATGGGACATTCGGCATAGAGATACTGTTTGCTGGTGGCTTTATATTAGAGCCTTCGGTGCCAGAGGCGCTGGGAGCGCCGCCGCCGCATGCGGCCACGGCAGTTTCCGCCGACAGCCTGGCATCGTGCTGCCCGTTTGGGAGTGCCACATCCCGGATCTTGCAGTGAAGCATCGAAGTCTGGTCAGTGCAAAATTAGCGAGCAATGTGTGAGGGTGACGGCTGTGGCGGGGGGTGCTAGGGTGTTTTGGTGCGCCTCGCTGTCCAACTCGGCACTGTACGAATTTACCCCTCTCAGTCAGTCCCATCACCTCAAGTCACCCTTGAGGTTGACATGAAGACTGGACTTGACTGAGCTGGACTTGACCAGGCCGGGGACGCTAATGCGGGCCGCCATCGACCCAATTGAACCTGGGCTCTGTCGTCGACTTATCCGAACCGGGTGCACCGAATGATTGGGCCGATTGTCGTCTGCTCCAGGTCGGCCCCATCCAATTATTCCCAGCCAAGCTGAACCTCTAGAGACACGGGCAAACAGCGGACACTGCACTTCAGCTCACAGCTCACCTACGCCTTACGGTACCTTACGGTACCTTACTGGCACTGCACCGTATGGGCTGTTGTCACCGCGTCCGCATCCACAACCACATCCACACCCGCACACCTGCAACAACCGCACCGTAAACTCATCCACCGCCCAAGGCCATACCTGCGCAATCGCCGACAAAACGTGCAACTTCGACTTCTTGACCTGCAACCACTCGTCTCGGACCCTTGTTGTAGATAAAACTTGCGGTGGCTGAGACTGACTATTTTGCTTGCACCTACGTATTCGCTGGCACCGTCACCTGCCACTCCATCGCTTGTCAACTACTGTCGCTTTTGGCTTTAGCATCTGCAAAGTCGGCAGAAACCGAGACCGACCCCAAAACCTCCTCTAAACCACCCACGACAGCGGAACAACCACGAACGACAACGACCAGCACACCGACTGACCACGAGGCTGTATCAAGCATTTCTTCAACATGGCCGACGACCCTCAAAGCGGTAGCCCAAAGTCGGATCCCATCGACGCCAAGGAGGATGCTGAGACCGCTGCGGCTCGCAAAGAGTTGAAGCATACGGCCATTTCAGAGAAGTCTGAGGGGGCCACCGGCGCGACGACACCCCAGCTCAGTGCCGGCGATGAGCAAAAGGAGCAAGTCTCGTCACCCAAGAAGAAACAGAAGAGGGCCCACGACCAGCTCGATGACGAGGACAGAGACGCTGAGGAGGCGGACAGCAAGAGCGTTGCGTCAAGCGACTCTGCCAAGGACAGGGCTTCGCGACTGGAACCCGAGAAGAAGAGGCACAGAGATGGAGTGACTGTTGACGCCGCCGCCGACTCTTCTGTACGTTTCCTCCTCCAGTTTTCCTACGTGCCCGTATGTATGCCTTTGCTCTATCGTGCTGACTTGCCTTTGCGACCAAACAGGTAACATCGCCCGTCACCGCCGAAACGAAAACGCCGAACAGCATTTCCACTACGACCGAGGTCACGTCCGCAGCAGCAGAAAACTCTGCCAAGGAGGAAAAGCAGGGGACATCGGCTGCCGCTTTTGCCAGTTCTGGCTTCGCCAAGCTGGCTGCATCAAGTGCGTCACCGTTTGGCTCATTGGGAGACTCTTCAAAAGGCAGCGTTTTTGGCGGATCAACGTCCTCAGCATTGCCATTTGGCTCCCTGTCGCCGTCCAAGCCCGCTGCGGCTCCTATTGCCGCACCGACATTGAGTTTTGGAGGCGCTGGCGCCGCCTCATCGCCGTTTGCCAGCGTTAAGACCGCCGGCGCAAACGGTTTTGGTTCGGCATTCGGCAGCGGCTTCGGCAGCGCACTGTCAGGTAAACCCTTGACGAGCTTTGCCAAGGCAGGAGAGTCTTCCTTCAAAAGCGAGAAGCCTGCCAAACCTTTTGGCGCACCGGAAAGCGACGCGGACGATGGAAGCGGCGATGACGCTGACGGCGATGATGTATCTGCTTCAGAGTCTGGTGACAAGGAGGAAAAGGAGGAGTCTGACAAAGAAGAATCCAAGGCTGGTGATGATAAGAAGCGCACCAAGCTGCAGAAAAGTGAGCGGCACGTATCCTGCTTGGCTTTTTACTTTGCTAACCGTCCACAGTCACTGTCGATGATGGCGAGGCCGGTGAGGCTACGATAATTCAGGTCAGAGCCAAGATGTTCTATCTGGAGAAGGAGGTTGGTTGGAAGGAGCGTGGCTCCGGTATGCTGAAGATCAACGTGCCTGTAGCTTGCGTTTCGTTCGATGACTCAGGCCTTCCCATTCCCGGTTCTTTTGACGCATCGGGCCTGGAGAACGACGAGGATCCAGAGGCTGGCGGCAGCACGGCCCATAAGGTTGCCCGTCTGATCATGAGACAAGATCAGACACACAGGATACTTCTCAACACAGTCATCTTGCCTGCTATGAAGTTCCAGGAGAAGACGTCTCTCAAGTCCGTTGGAGTCATGTTCACCGCATTCGAGGGTGAAGAGGCGAAGCCCGTCAGCGTTCACATGAGGGTAAGGATGTCTCCGATACTCGATACCGAATCAAGTACTGACATACCAATCGCAGATGAGTGCAGCCAGCGCCAAATCGTTCCTCAACGAAGTTGGCATGGTTCAAAGAGAATTGTCGAGCAACTGAGCATCATATTTCTCAGCTGTGGATAAGTTAATGGCCATAGACCGAGCTGGTGACTATGTGGACTTGCTCGATGATTTCCATCGAGCGCACAAGACCTTCAAGTGGTCGACTGGTGGCGAAAGTATTCCTGGGGTTATTGGGGGCCAGGCGGGGGAAGGCAGAGGCATACAGTCGGCGGCACGGCATTCATTTTTGTAGGAGTCCTCTGACCATCCGGATTCGGGACGCTGTCCTGTCATGATACCAGGAAACCAGTGTCCTTTGGTACACTTTAGATATCAATCAACCGCAGTAACATAACTATTTGGGGATTGCCCTTAATGATTACACTATTCTTACGAAGCAGAAGGAAGCATTCTTTGCTGAAAAGCATGAGCCGACGCGGTGGAAGCTCGGTCCACGTGACTAGGTGTGGATTACGTGACGCAGACGACTCTCATCTTACAGGCCAGTGGCGTTTCGCGTTCCCTCAGGGCCTGGTGCTTCTTGTACAGGACATGGTGCAGAAACATGTGATTTCTGTACTTTGAGTCTGATGCAAATTGGACACATAGTTTACCGCCAGTATCTACGCCCACTTCCTCATGTTAGCCGACAGCTAGCCGCGCAGAGGCCGTTTTGGTCTCCTCCAAGTCAGTAGCCATGCAAAACGGGACAGAGGCTGTCGTGCAAAAAGCCCGGGGGAAGCGGAAGAGAAAGGACAATCAAGGAGCGATTGCCGACAGCGGAAACCGGGGAGTTTCTTCGGCAGGCGGCCAGCTCGGCAATGACGATACCTCGGACAGCCAGAAAAGTACCAAGGCCCGGAAACGGACCGCGTCGAAGAAGACTGCCTCCGCTCTAAATCGCACAGAGAGCGCCGCATCTTCGGTTACGTGCAACGTTGAATGGCCAGATTCCTTCAAAGCACTGGAGAAGACGCATCGCGCTCTCAACTTGGTCTTTACTTTCTGCTGTACGCGCAAGCACCTTGCCACGACCTTTGAGACGATCAGATCTGCAGTCGAATCGCACACCAAAAAAGTATTGACAATCGAGGATGTCGCATCTATTGCAGCTGTGCGGCCAGAAGGCGTCAACTTTGCCTACGTTGACGAAATCATGTTGCAAACCGAGGTCAGAGGGGCGGAGCGCGACGTGACATTCAAGGCGGGACGGGACTTCCGCTCTCAAGCACCTGCTCCCGATGCTTCTGTTGGCGGGATATCTGGCCTTGAGAAGCTAGACCAACACCCCGACGAGCGCGTCGAAGGGGGAAAAGAAGTGCTGTACTTCGAATTTGTGGATGGTGACCTGAAGCGACAGGTCAAGGACAAGAAGACTGGCGAAATCACCAAGCCAAACAGGAAATTGAGGGAAGAGACCCTGAAAATACCCGTTTACAGCCAGAAGCAGATGACGAATCTCATCGAGAGAAGGAATCAAAAGTTCATTGACGCAATGAACGCATTCATCAACCAATGTATCTCCGACAATCTCGACCCCGAGCAGGCTCTGTCCAAGGCAGCAGAGGCCTTCATACCAGCGCCGACGGTCCCGGAGGATCCGCCCGAAAAGTGTCTCGGAGCGTTGCCCGAATCGATACCTACGGAACGGAAGAGCATTCCTGAAATCGTACAGGAGATGAAAGACAGCCCGTGGTACACAGGACAGATTGTACCTGATGGTCATCGCGTCTTTGAGCCTCAGGAGGCCGTCTATGGAGATCTCAACTTTCTCCTCAGTCAGGATTTGGTCAATGCCTTGTACAATGCTAAAGGGATCACGCAATTCTTTGCTCATCAAGCGGAAGCGATTAACGGTCTGTTGGAGGGCCAGCACGTAGTTGTTGCCACTTCCACGAGCTCAGGAAAGTCTCTCATCTACCAGCTTCCGGTTATACACGCTCTAGAAAAGGACTACCACACACGAGCAATGTACATCTTCCCAACGAAAGCGTTAGCCCAGGATCAAAAGAGGAGCCTGAGGGAGATGCTGAGCTATATGCCAGGGATGGAACATGTGCTTGTGGAAACTTTCGATGGAGATACGCCCATGAAAGAACGAAATGCGATCCGAGACGAAGCAAGGATCATCTTCACCAACCCAGACATGCTGCACATAACGATTTTGCCACAGGAAGAGAGATGGAGAACGTTCTTGAAGAACCTGAAATATGTCGTCGTTGATGAGTTGCACTACTACAACGGACAGATGGGATCTCATGTGTCTTTCATCATGCGGAGGCTGCGACGAATTTGTGCCGCGGTGGGAAACCGCCACGTCAAGTTCATTTCATGTTCGGCAACCGTCGCCAACCCAAAGCAGCACTTCAAAACAATATTCGGTATTGAGAATGTGAGGCTGGTCGACTTTGACGGTTCTCCATCAGGCAAGCACTCAACGCCTGAACCTTTAAACAATCAATGTGACTAACGTTACTAGGTCGAAAGGAGTTTTTGTGCTGGAACACTCCATACCGAGACCCAGGCGATCCAGCTAGTGGACGAGGCGATGCAATGTTCGAATGTGCGCGCCTCTTTTGTCAGCTGATGCTGAGAGGCGTACGAATCATCGCCTTCACCAGGGTAAGGGAGCAGTGCGAGAAGCTAGTGACTGCTGTGCAGCAAGAACTAGAATCCATTGGGCGGCCGGAGTGTGTCAATAGGGTCATGGGCTACAGGGGGGGCTATACGGCCCAGGATAGACGCAGGATCGAGTCGGAGATGTTTGAGGGAAAGCTGCTTGGAATCGTTGCCACTACAGCTCTGGAGCTCGGTATCGATATTGGCACACTAGACTGCGTGTTGACATGGGGCTTCCCGTACACAATCGCCAACCTACGACAGCAGAGTGGACGAGCCGGACGAAGAAACAAAGACTCGCTCTCCGTCCTAGTGGGAGATTGCTTCCCCACTGACCAGCACTACATGCAGAATCCCGACGAACTCTTTACCAAGCCCAATTGCGAGCTGCAGGTTGACCTTGAAAACATGCTGGTACGAGAGGGCCACATCCAATGTGCTGCTTACGAGATGCCTGTTCGGCCTGTGGAGGATGCCGAATACTTTGGTCAAGATCTTCCCCAAATCTGCGAAGAACGTTTGCTCAGGGACGCCATGGGCTTCTACCATTGCCACGATCGGTTCCGGCCCATTCCGTCGAGGTTTGTTGCCATCCGCGACACGGAAGACGATCATTTCGCAATCATCGACATTACTCATGGCAAGAACGAAGTTTTGGAGGAACTGGAGGCTTCAAGAGCCACGTTCACGATCTACGACGGCGCCATTTTCCTGCATCAGGGAAGCAAGTACCTCGTCCGGGATTTTCAGCCAGACAAGATGATGGCACGAGTGGAACGGGTCAAGGTTGAGTGGACCACGACGCAACGAGACTTCACCGACATAGATCCCATCGAGACAGAAGCGATCCGGCGTATATCCGGATCTTTGTCGAAGGCTTTTTACGGCACGATCAAGATCCAGCAGAACGTATACGGATTCTTCAAGGTCGACAAGAAGAAACGGGTTCTGGACGCTGTTCATGTGGACAACCCTCCCGTCATTCGATATGGGAAGGGGATGTGGTTGGACATACCGAAAAAGGCGCTGCAGATCCTGGCCGACAGACGACTACACATCGCCGCGTCCATTCACGCGGCAGAGCATGCCATCTTGAGTCTCATGCCCAACTTTGTGATTAGTCTGCCCGGCGACGTGCGGACCGAGTGCAAGGTGGCGCTCAAGGAGTTCGCCAAGAAGGAGTCGCAGAGGAAGCGGCCAGGTCGACTGACGTTTTACGACGCAAAGGGCGGTGCCAGCGGCTCGGGGATCAGCACCAAGGCCTTCGAACACATTGACCACCTTCTGCAGCAAGCACTTAAACGAGTCGAGGAATGTTACTGCGAGAGTGGCTGCATTGAGTGCGTGGCCTCGGAGCTGTGCAAGGAGAACGATGTGATGAGCAAGGCAGGCAGCCAGGTCATTCTGAAAGCCATCTTGAACATGGAGATTGATGTAGAGGCTCTGCCAATGGGCCCCGAGGAGCAGTGTCCGGCGGGGTTAGAGACAGTGATTGTTGCCCAGCCTGTGCCACCCAAAGACCGCAACAACCTGAGGCTGATTGACATCAAGGAGGAGGAGTTCGAGGACCAGGACACGGTGCTCTTGGAGGACGCAGAGATGTGGACCGGCGATGAGTGAGTTAGTCGACGACTGGAAATGATTTCATAGCTTCCAATGTGACGCACATCCGCTTTCCAATCCTTTCCGGCCAAGCGAGCAGCAGACATATGGTTGTCCGATGAAGAGTGGACGAAAAAAGCTTTTGCCAAGGGTGTCTGGATGGGATGGTCCGGTTCCCCCTGGGGAATCGGAGTGGGGAGTTTTTTTTAGCTGATGCCCGGTGCAGTGTCGCAGCCTCTGGGCACTGGGCGCTCGTGGCATATCCACTTGGCCGGCTCTTGGTTGCTTCTTGGGCGAAGCTTGGTTTCTTCCGGAACAGTGCTAGCTGTGGTGTTATTTCTCGGAACGTCCAACGTTATAGGCTGGGTCCCTGGCTGTTGCGGTTTCTCATCCCGTTCTCCGTGTTGGCGCCCGTGTCTGGCTGCCTCCCTCAGAACATTCATGTTTTGCTGCTCGTTTTGCACTCCCGGACTGAGGCGTGGATCTGGGGTCATGTCTGTAGCGTATCGTCGCAATCAGGCCGCATTGATTCATCCCGCACGCGGCGCCCGCCGCGTCCATCGCATGACTTTGCCCAGATGCCAGAAGCCTCGGCACCCGCGGGGCGTGCTATGCGTGTGCGAGCAGCACGCGTCGTGTGGCTGCTGTCAGATTGCAATGGCAAAAAAGTACGACTTGTCAGAATGGGTCACCATCGGCCGCCAAGACAGTTGTTTTGACTTGATGTGGCTGGACATGGGAGGATGTTGAGATTGGGGTCGGCAAGGTGAAGAGGACGACCTCATCATCGGCCAGCTCAAAGGTCGCATTTGGGAGGAAATGTCCCGTCCTGCAGGGATACAGCACAGCGCCCAGTGACGTCGTTTAGGCTTGGCGGCTTATCTGCACCACCTTACCGCAAGGGCCTTGAGACCCTTTACCGCCCTATTGAATGGATCTTCTCGCTTGCTGCTGTGTTGTTTACATGGTCCAGACCCAAGCTTTCCGACCAGACTGCAACGATGAATGGAGGAGACACACAACACCGCAGAACAGGCGTGGCTAGCGTGGCTTTCTTTCCCGCCCGCTCTCTCGGTGCACAAACCAAGAAAGCCTTTTCCTGCGGCGCTTCACACTCGCCTCAGAAAGGTATCTTGTACCCGCGGTTTCACGGTAATTGCAGCGAGGCGGTCGAGGTCCTGGGTGTACCCATACACGCCCAACTCTCCCGAGCAATGCACAAGGGTTTTGTTCGGCGGTCTTGGCATGACAGCAAGCTTGGCTGTGCCTTGATTCAGACCCCAGGGTGACCTCTCGTTTTCGTTGCTCTCTCCTCTGTTGATGTGTGTCGACCGCGATGCCTGCATCATACATAGGATGTGCCTTTCCGCGTTAAAAGTATCCGGGGGAACCCCTCCGTCGTCTGCCCTTGCCAACCTGCTGCGAGGCCGAACTTGTCACGAACTCTCTCTTCTCCGACTTACCAGAACAAACCTCGGATCGACGGAAGATTTTCTGTTTACTTTGCGGGCTCAACCGTTCCAGATCTCCCGCGTGAAAACTGTCATCCTCTCCTCACCGACTGCCCTTGGGAAGCTGATGTTGAAACACCCTCGTCCGAAATCCCCAACCACAGGCCCAGACCAGCCACCCAAGCACCACGACCAGGGGCCCGAAATCCAAGGGACTGGACCACGTTGATCCTGAGATCCCTTCAGCTCCCCATTTTCTTAATATTCTTCCATGCCCTTCCCTTCCTTTGTCCATTGAGCCACAGTTTTCAAAGTCTTGGTATTGGGGCTGTTCCACATCGTATATGTCCCTGACCCCAGCAACACCACTCTACATCGGCTTGGCGATATCCATACCGACCACCGTATATACTCTCTAGACTCCGTCATCGAATCTGTATATTTCTGCTAGTGTCTGGTTCGGCGACGTTTTGTCACCGGTTGTCTAGACACGCCCACCAGCCATCATGTCCACACCGCGGTCCCCGAGGTCACCACACCGCCAAACCTACCGCGAGTCGGCCTCGAGACGCCGAGAGTCAAATAACCTCGTCATCCCCGAAAAGGCACGCACGTCTGGAATCTCAGGCAACGACCGCGATTCACTACCAGTCTACAACAATGCCCCTCCGCATCGACGGCCGCCGCCGCGCAGCAAGGTCCGCGTCAAGCCTTCCGGCGAGAGCGGACGCAAAGGATTCCACCCCATGAAGTTTCTGAAAATCACCTGGAAATCGTCAAGTCGTGCTTCTCTGGTCTGCAACTTTTTCTGGCCGGTTGTCCCGGCTGCTTTTGCTGTCAGATGTACGTCTCAAAGATTGAGTGTATGCGGGGGTGACCAAAGCTAATATGACCACTAGATACTCTACCCAACGAGCACGTGTTGATATTCGTACTGGTTTATATTTCAATGATTCCTTGCGCCAACATGGTCGGTTTTGCGGGCCAGGAACTTGCTCGCAAGGTCAATCATGTGTTTGGTGTGTTGATGGAAACCACGTGAGTTATAACATCGACGATTTCGCCGAAATTTCTCAACTCACATGAACGCAGTTTGGGATCTGTGGTCGAGCTCATTCTCTTCATGGTTCTGTTGAAAGGAAGCCAATTCGTGGTTATCCAAGCCGCAATTCTCGGCTCCATTTTGGCAACCATGTTGTTGTGTTTGGGGCTGTGTTTCATTGCTGGTGGTATGCGGCGCGAAGAGGCAGAGTTCAGCGATACCATCACCGAGGCTGGAAGTGGTTTATTGTTGACTGCGTAATTGATCATCTTCCCTAATCACCGGAATAAATGCTAACGTTTCGATAGCGGGATTGCATTGGCAATTCCCACAATTTTCGACCGCTCCCTACAAGGCGTTCTCACTGTTGAGGAAATCGACAAGAAGACACTTCACATCTCCCGCATTGTCTCCCTGATCCTCATCGTTTCTTACTTGGTCTATGTTTACTTCCAAGCTCGCACCCATCACGGAATTTACGACGCCATCTTCAAGAATGACGAGCAACGAGATAATGACAAGCACAGAGATATTAGGAAGGCCAAGTTGACTCTGACGGAATGCATCATCGCACTTGTCGTCTCGATCACGCTGGTTACTTTCATGGCCATATTCCTCGTGGAACAAATCGCTCCTATTGTCGAAGAGCACAGCATTTCTGATCCCTTCATGGGTCTGATTCTTGTTCCCTTGGTTGAGAAGGCGGCCGAACACCTGACGGCTGTCGACGAGGCTTGGGACAACCAGATGAACTTTGCCCTCTCGCATGTCCTCGGTGCGACGCTCCAGACGGCTCTACTGAACGCCCCTCTTGTGACTATTGTTGCCTGGGGCAGACACAAGCACTTCGACCTAGTCTTCGAGGCATTCGACATAACGATGCTCATCCTGGCCATCATCACTGTTGGAAACTTTCTGAGGGACGGCAAAAGCAACTATCTCGAAGGTGTCCTTCTCCTAGCTCTTTATTTAGCGATCAGTGTGAGCGCTTTCTACTATCCCAACCCTCCAGGGCATGGGGCAGGAGCTGCAAGAGGAGCATCCGAGGGTCTTGTTCACTACGTAGCCGAAGGCTTTGGTCGTTGAGATAACTTGGCTGTAAGAGGAGCGCTCGAGGGTCTCATCCACTACGCAGCAGAAGGCTCTGTTCGTTGAGGCAGGCTGTTTATAGTTCTTTTTGATGTAACCATACCTAGGTATCACGAGATGTTGTGGTGTTTTGGAGTGTTGAGGTCTTGGTGTCTGAGCGCTCTTTGGCAACGCCACAAAGTAGCAATAACGAGACGTTTTAGAGACCCACAGCGGATCCAGCCATCACATTGCACATTATCCCCATGAATATGCTCTGGTCTGTGGTTGGCAATGCTTTCTCCTCTAGACTTGCAGACGGCCGCTATCTCGAAAGCCAAGCTTGTGTGGACATTGAACTCCTCTCTTTCATGGCAAGCGTTTCATAACATTACATTACAGATAAGAAATTATTATGATTGATGAGAGCGAGCCTGGTTTCCTCTGTGTCTACGCGACTATATATCATACTCACACCCAGTTACTCCTAATAAACACAATCATAGTGAAGATAAAGATAGTAGAAAGGATAATAACGATAGTAACGGGGATGTTAATAATGTTAATGACGAAGACGACGAAGACGACGAAGACGATAACAACGCCAACGACGATAGCAACGGCAGTAAAGCAGCGTGTATAACTACGGGAAAAGTAGTCGCTCTAGCACAGGAAAAACAGGCAATACCTAACGAGAATACAACTAGAGAAGTTTTCCCTCAGATTCACGCTTTAGACTATGACTTGTAAACTATGACTTGTGAAGGTTGTATGCTAATCATAAATAAGCGTCGGCGCTATGCTCAAATGCCCGACCACAAATGCAATGATCCACACTCCGCGGAGATGTCAAAATCCATCTCCAAGAAAACACCAAACAAGCCAGCTGATAAGCCCCCAAACCCCCACGTGCCCAGGTCAAGGTTCGAACCGCTTATCAAGCTTATTCCGGAGATGTTCGATTCCGTCTCTTCTTCCAAATACCTCTACACGCATTGGCTGTCCCACCTGCGGAGCTACCGCATTCTCATGGTGGCGGCCTGCAACAACTGTGCGCCCTGACGGCCCGTGGCGGAAGCGGCTCTGCTCCACGCTCACAACCTTGCTCCCTCTGCCGAAACCCGAGATCTTCAAGACCGTTCGCGACGCCGCGTTTGACAACTCATGACCATCAGTCAATTCAGAGCTAAAAACGGCAGCTCGTCTAGAAGATGAGGAAATCTTCGTCACTCCAGCCCATTTCAGATAGTATGGCGCGCGCGCTCTTCTCTAGCGCTGGCGGGCCGCAGATGAGTATCATCTCCTCGCCGTTGGCGTCGTTGCGACACGGACCCACCTCCCCCTCGAAGACAGTTTTGTCCAGGTAACCCGTCAGACCCTTCCATCCAGGAGGTGGTCGGGTGAGCGTGTGGACTAGCCGGCACTTGTCTGGGTTAGCCGTGGCTATGGTGTCTAGG